CTTCTTCTTCTTCTTCTTCTTCTTCTTCTTCTTCTTCTTCTTCTTCTTCTTCTTCTTCTTCTTCTTCTTCTTCTTCTTCTAATGAGTTATGCTAATGAGTTCCCCTAGCTCTTTTTCTACGGAAGGACCCCTGCTATAGGAATTTATGTGGTTATTGGAGGGCTGTGATTGGGTGCAGGGAATAGGGTTTGGCAACTGCTGGGAAGGAGGGGTGATTGGTTGTGGCTGTAGTCGTCCTGTTCTCCATTGAACGCCTTTCCGAGTTGCCAACTCTGAGCTGGGAAATTCCTGGAGATTTGGGGAGGGGGGCTTGGAGAGGGTGGGGTTTGGGGAGGAGAGGGATGTCAGCAGGGTATAATACCGTAGAGTCCACCTTCCAAATCAGCCATTTTCTCCAAGGGAACTGATCTGTACTACCGGGAGATCAATTGTAATTCCAGGGGACCTCCAGGCTCCTCCTGGAGGTTGAGGAATACCAAAAACAACATCATGACAAGATTAACAAAGAGTCAATAAAGATAAGTTGCAAAAAATGTTTACTGTAGTAATTCTATAGGAAAATTCTCTTCTATAATCTTGCAGGGTTCTACAGAATTACTACAGTAAACATTTTTGCAGCTTATCATTGTTGACGCTTCGTTATTTTTGTCATGGGTGTTGTTTTTGGAGTGGATTTGTCATGCTATGTTAAACCTGTGAATGAAGCGAATATACATTTATATGTTTAAAATAAGGAAATTAAATTGTTAAAAAAAAGAACACCGTCTAGAAAATATTTTAAAAACCTACAAATATACTGTAATGAAACGCTAAGTAAATCAAACTTGAGGTAATTAACATTATGTGTAGTTGTATTCATCTATTGCTTGCAGTTATTTGGATACAAAACTATACATTCAATTACATTTATACATAAAATGTAGAAACAGTTTTGAAACATAACATAAATGGTCAGGATCAGGAATCGTCACATAGAATCAACAAGTTCTAATAAGAACCGTCAAAGTCATCAACCTCACAAAATGCTCTACATCTTACAACGGCACTACAGATAAGATTAGAATTTCAACAGCCAATCCATATGCAAAAGAGCCTCCTCAGGAAAGCTCCTCCATTAGCATGTCACAGCCTGGGGAACTCCTACAAGATAACGACTCAGCCCTACCCCACCTTCCTGAGTAGATATAAATTACCTGCCTACCATTTTTCTTCTCACCTTGACACGGAGAGTACTGTATTTTTCTGTGTTATACCTCTGAGGATGCCAGTCACAGCTGCTGGCGAAATGTCAGGTACTACAATGCCAAGACCACGGCCACACATCCCGGAAAATCTACAACAACTAATGAACTCTGGCCGTGAAAGCCTTTGACAACACATTTTTTCTACGTTGTATGTATAACTATAATATATAACTATATAACATTGTATGTATAACTATAATATATAACTAATGAACTCTGGCCGTGAAAGCCTTTGACAACACATTTTTTCTACATTGTATGTATAACTATAATTGAATGTATAGTTTCATATCCAAATAGACAAATACAACTACCCATAACTTTAATTACCTTAAGTTTGATATATTTATCATGTTATTACAGTGTATTTGTAGTCTTTTGATGCTCTTCTCCAGGGGCTGCGCTCACACAATGCAACTATTGTTGATTTTTACCGTCCTCTGCAGAGTCACGTGCAGGAAGGGAAACTCCCAGCAAGTGTTTGGAAAGAGTGAAAACAGAACTAACACACACTCTCTGTCTTATAGAGGATGAGGCAGCCATGGCAGCTGGGGTTCCCTTCTCAGAGCTCTGGGAGGAGGCCTCCTGCTCCATCTGCCTAGGATATTTCAGGGACCCCGTCACGATCCCCGAGTGCGGCCACAACTTCTGCCGAGCCTGCCTGACCCGCAGCTGGGGGGAGTCGGGGGCCTCCTGCCCTCAGTGTGGAGAAACAGCTCAGCCAGGGAACCTCCAGCCGAACCGGCAACTGGCAAATATTGTGGGGATCGTTCAGAGACTCAGTCTTCTGGAGGAAAGGAGGGGAGAAGCGAAGGGAGTGGAAGAAAAGAGGCGGCTCTGCGAGAAGCACCGGGAGCCCCTGAAACTTTTCTGCCAAAATGACAAAGCCCTCATCTGCGTGGTCTGCGACAGATCCAGGGAGCACAAAGGCCACGAGGTGCTTCCCCTGGAGGAAGCGTCCCAAGAGTACAAGGTAGGGGATAAATATTAACTAGGGGATAAATATTAATGGGGAAGAGTGCTGGTTTCCTCTTACGTCCGTGTACTGGCCGGCTACATGTCAGTTACTCCAACAGAGAGGGCAAATAGCAGCTCCCTGTGACCTTTTCAGGGCAGGGAAATTCGTCCTCCGTGTTCCTGGGAATTAAGTTCCACTCATGGAACCCACAGATGATGTCTGATCAATAGGACTGGGGAGGACTGGAGAATTATGGGGGGTGGGGGGGTGGATTCATATGACTTCTGGAGAAGGAGAAGAAGAGATTGGATTTATACCCCACCCTTCAGAGTGGCTTACAATCTCCTTTCCCTTTTCCTCCCTGCAACAGACACCCTTTAAGCAATGCTCCCTCCAAGCTGTGGAGCCTTGTGAGCAAAAACTCTATTTTGTGAGCTACTGGCATTAAAGTTGGGAGCAAGCGATTTGGCTACTGTGTAGATTAGTTTGCTCTGGAGCCATCCTTCCTGAGCTAAGATAAAAATGTGTGAGCCGGAGGCTAAAAAACTGTGAGCTGGCTCACACTAACTCAGATTAGAGGGAACACTGCCTGTGAGGTAGGTGGGGCTGAAAGAGCTCTCTCCAGAACTGCCCTTGAGAGAACAGCTCTGAAAGAACTTAGGACTGACCCAAGGTCACACTAGCGGCTGCCTGTGGAGGAATGGGGAATCAAACCCGGTTCTCCCAGATTAGAGTCCGTGCTCCTAACCACTACACCAAACTGGCTCTCACCACCAAACTGGCTTATCTCAAAAAAGAGCAATATCCCCCCCCCCCGCTGCATTTCCAGAAGGAAGCTGAAAGTGTTAAACTGAGGAAAGGGGAAATAGAGTGAAAAGTATGCAGACGGAGAGTGATTTCAGCTAAGCATACCTTTATTAGTCCGGAACAAAGACACCTTAACCGGCTCGCAGGCCGTCTTATATTCCCTCAGACAAACCCACCACCAAAACCCCCCCCCCCCCTCCCCAGAGGATATTAAAATGCCCAAGAGACCTCTTGGCCTCTTGGCCTGGGACCTAGCCCTTTCATTGGGCCTGGCTAGGATCCTACTGGCCCATTGTCTTTTGGCATGAAGCTAGTGGTTTGTTTGTGCCTGGGCAAGTCCAGGCATGCCCGGCCCTGACAGGGCCTGATACACTACATAGAGAATCAACATTTACATGCCATTTGGTGGAGTTGCTAATCGCCAGGCCTGAAGGTCTTTTGGAATGAGCGTGGATCAGGTCCCATGAAGAAAATGGCCTGTTTGGAGGGGGAACGCTACGGCATTATAGCCCACAGAGGTCCCCCCCCTCCCCAAGCCCCCCCCCCCAAATCTCCAGGAATTTCCCAGCTCAGAGTTGGGATTGTCCTCTTGGGATTCACTGACCTGCTTTACAAAGAGATGCGACAACAGGAAACTGAGGTTCCCAAGCTCTCTGGGGCCTGATAGGCTCAGCAGCATGACGCGTACCACCCATCCACACCATTTTTCTGAGGCAAAACATCTGTGGGCTGGGGGGGGGCTCCACTCGTTCTAGAGCAGACAGTTGAGTTTCTCCTGGAAGGAGGCAATATCAGCATTTTAATGTTATAGAATGATTCTTCTGAAATTTGTGACTGGTTGCCCATTAAGAAAATACTGTAAACCTTTGAAAAAGACTCTGTAAAAGACTTCGGAATCTTATTGCATTCTGAAAACTGACTTGAAGGTATTACAGATACAAATGAGAGAAAATGCCCATAGCATAAATACATCTTTGAAGAAGACAGCCGAAACGAAGCTCGCATCCGGGATCTTCGTTAGACCTTTCTGTTTGCTTTAACTTGTCCTATTGTTTTTCGTGCTGAATTCCATTGTATTGAGAGCTTTATTGTTTATTTTGTTTCCGCTTGTCCTGTTGTTTTTCGTGCTGAATTTCATTGTATCGTACACTTTTGCTTGTATTTGTATATGTATCTAGACAATTGTCATCTTTAGCGTCTGATTGTTCACAGCTGTTGTCATAGTTGCTCTCTAGGACTCCCCCGTCACTTTGGAGGCTGTCCTCTGGTCAGGCTGCAAAAGAGGAAGGGTGTGGTCGTGGTGGCATTTGCTGCTTCCCTGAGTCTGTCACATGTGGTGTGGGCTTTGCCCTACTTCGTGGTACCCTGCTGCCTCTTTGGGGGTTTCCAGTTCTGCCCTGGGAAATTCCTGGAGATTTTGTGGGTGGAGCCAGAGGAGGGCGGGGTTTGAGAAGGGGAGGGAGTGTTTAATACTATGTCGTCCATCCTCCGAAGCAGCTGTTTTCTCCAGGAGAACTGATGGGTATAAGAGCCAGTTTGGTGTAGTGGTTAGTGTTGGGATTGTAGCAGGAACTCCTTTGCATGTTAGGTGACACACCCCTAATGTAGCCAATCCTCCAAGAGCTTACAGTAACTCCTGTAAGAAGAGCTCTGTAAGCTCTTGGAGGATTGGCTACATTAGGGGTGTGTCGCCTAATATGCAAAGGAGTTCCTGCTACAAAGAGCCCTTATGGCAAGATCTAAATTTCAGTCATTATAGGGTTAACATATTTGTTATGATTCTACCAGAAACCTGACCTGGAAGTGCAACCTGGCTCAGAGCCAATCCTGTAGGTTAATTGCTGTGTTGGAGAAACTGATTGGATGGTTTTAATTTATTAGTGTTTGGGTTGGGTAATGACCTTGAGATTCTCCCTGTTAAGGTACTAGAAAAGAGGTTACTCCCTCAGCCACCTCATTCAGGCTTTTACCTTTTTCCTTCTTCTTTTTTTCCCAATAACATTTTATTGGTATAATACAATAGTATTAAGAAAACATAACAATCACATTTTTATAACATTAGCCAAGTCCATAATGAACTAAAGAACAGTTAAACATATTAACCAGTACAATATGAATAAAAAATGTAAGCATTGAAAAATGATGTATAATTCAATAAACTTTGGAACAAAATACCTTGTTTTTACAATATATTCTAATTAAAGCCTGTTCTGTTCGCTGTTATTAACTCAATAAAGTGCCTTCTGCCCTCTAAACTATCAATAGGCATTCAATAGCATATCTAACAATGTGAAAAACAAAGTGAACCTATAAACCATAAACAATTTACCGTGAGGATATCAGTATTTTGCTATATCTATGTAGTTTCAATAAACAATATTCATTTGAACCATATATAAGTCATTATATCCATTTAATATAGTTATTCCAGGATGCTGAAATGAATTTTTCTTCTGTTAATGCTTCTAGAATAGGAAACCATTTAACCTCAAACCCAAAATGTGCAATGTTCCCTTTATTTCTGTTAACTTTCGCTGTGAACCTTTTTCCTTCTTAGAGACTTGTGGTATGCATTAGCCTACTCTGCTGTATAAATCTGTAGTTTTGGACTTTGTTATTTTATTAGAACTTTCCAGTTTCCCCCCTTCCTAATAGATTTAGATGAAGAATCTTATTTTGATTAACAACTCCAGTCTCCATGCCTCATTTACCCAACAGTTAGGAGCACGGACTCTAATCTGGGAGAACTGGGTCTGATTCCCCACTCCTCCACATGCAGCTGTTGGTGTGACCTTGGGTCAGTCATAAGTTCTTCCAGAGCTGTTCTCTCAGGAGCAGTCCTCGAGGAGCTCTCTCAGCCCCACCTACCTCACAGGGTGTCTGTTGAGGGGAGAGGAAGGGAAGAGAGATTGTAAGCCACTCTGAGACTCCTTCAAGTAGTGAAGGGCAGGGTATAAATCCAATCTCTTCTTCTTCTTCTACAATAAGGAGATTGGCTGTAATTCCAGGAGATATCCAGGTCTCACCTTGAAGTTGGCAACGCTAGCCTTCTCTCCAAAGGCCCCCATTCACTACGTGCCCCATCCCTGGCATGGTGCACAGGCACTCCTGGCCCACTGGCCCTCATTCTGGGAATGCTGAAAGCCCCTCATTGTGAAGTAGGGATGCCAGCCTCCAGGTAAGGCCTGGAGATCTCCCACTTTTACAACTGATCTCCAGATGACAGAGATCCGTTCCCCTGAATGGCTGCTTGGGAGGGTGAACTCTATGGCATTCTACCTTACTGAGGCTGGCCCCTTGCCTCTCCAAACCCTGCTGTCTCCAGGCTCCACCCCCAAATTCTCCAGGGAGTTTCCAGTCCAGAGCTGGCAACCACATTGTGAGCAACGGCTCCCTGAGTTTGGAGGATTCTAGGAACGGCTTCCACTGAAGCGACCGCATCTTCCCTGACAGTATCATCTCTCTATACGGTAAACCTCTATAAAGGAACCAAACCTGAGGTATTGTTTCCCTTCAGGATAAATTCCTCACACACCTCGAAATTCTGTCGAAAGAGAAAGAGAAACGAACGGTCTATAAAGCAGACGCAGAAAAGGAAATACAATATTTGTTTGTAAGTGTTTTCTGTTACTCGGAAATTAACTTAACCTTGAAACAATAACTGGAAATGAAGAGTCTGTTCCTGCCACACTCTTACACAATTTTGGGATGGACTGATCTCCCTAGGGTTGCCAGGTCTTACCTGGCTGCTGGCGGGTGTGTGTGTGTGTTGTCCCTCTGTCTCTCTGGGAGTGCTTCGCCGCGCCCACCAACATGCCCAGCACAGTGACATCACCCGGAAGTGACATCATCACACAGGGCATGTTGTGGGGGACACTCTAATGCAGGGGTGCCCAAACATGAACAAGTATCACACACACACACACTTTTACTGGAAAATATGCATATTTTCTTTAAAGTAACATTAAAAGAGACTGCCAAAAATAAAAGCAAGAGGGGTAAAAACAGGTATTGATAATGACATTTATTTGCCCAATGATATTTGTTTGCTAATGATATTTATTTGTCTAAGAGAGAAAGAGAGAGGGGGGTGGAAAGAAAGAATGAAAGAGGTGGAAAGGAAAAGAGAAGAAGAAGAGAAGAGATTGGATTTATACCCCGCCCTTCACTTGGAGTCTCAGAGCGGCTTACAAACTCCTTTCCCTTCCCCTCCCCACAACAGACACCCTGTGAGGTGGGTGGGGCTGAGAGAACTCTGACACAAACTGCCCTTTTTCAAGGACACCTGTGCCAGAGCTTGTGACTGACCCAAGGTCACATCAGCAGGTGCAAGTGGAGGAGTGGGGAATCAAACCCAGTTCTCCCAGATTAGAGTCCGCACACTTAACCACTACACCAAACTTAACCACTACACCAAAGAGAGAGAGAGAAAGAAAGCAAATAGATGGGGGAGGGAGAGGGGAAAGAAGGAAGGAAGAGAGAAAGGAAGGCAGGGAGAAAGAGAGAGAAAGAAAGGTGGAAAGAAGGCAAATAGATGGGAGAGAGAGGGAAGGAGGGAGAGGTGGAAAGAAAGCAACTTTAATTTTAAATGTGTCTTCCAAGTCCCACCCCCATGCTGGCTGGCTGGCTGGCTGGCTTGACTTGGAGAAGGGTCAGTCAATGGGGGGGGGGGGCCTTTGAGAAGGCCTTTAAAGTTAAATTTGCTTTCTTCTTCTGCTCCCCCACACCTGAAGCCTTCCCAAGGAGAGGAACACTGGCTGGGGAAGGGAAGACCAATCCGGGAGGCATGCCTTCCCTTCACTTCCCCTGCCGCCCTGCCAGAAGCCGCACAATATGTGTGAAAGAGCCACATGTGGCTCCTGAGCCGCAGTTTGGCCACTCTGCTCTATTGTTCGAGGAAAAACTCTATGGTTTTTCTCGAATGATAGAGCATCTCTCCCCCCCCCCCGCGCGCTACGTGCCCTGCTTGTGTACGTCACCTCCGGGCACAAACGGGGCACTTTGGGGTGGGGTTCCCCCTGCTGCCGGATCTAGGCCACTGGATTGGGGGCCCTGAAGGCCAGCAAATCCCCACCCCTGGTGGGGGAATGGCAACCCTAGATCTCCCCTAGAAAATGTTCCTGAAAGGCTATTCTGAAGGTGAGTCCTCAGAAGTCCAGAGGAAATTCTTTCCATTCTGGAAGTTGAGAGGAGGATCTCTGTAACAAGCCCAAACTTCCTTTTCCTGTGGCCAAGATGGCTGACTCACTTCCTGTCTTGGGCCTGCCCCTCCTTTCCATCCATTTGTTTCAGGAACAAACAGAATCTGAGAGGCAGAAGATGGTGGCTGAATTCAGACAATTACACCAGTTCCTGGAGGAAAAAGAGAAGGTTCTACTGACCCAGATGGAAGAGCTAGAAAAGGAGATTGCAAGAGAAAGGGACGGGCACCTGGCCAGGCTCTCCCGGGATCTCTCGTCTCTTGAAAATCTCATCCTTGAGATGGAGAAGAAGATTGAGCAGCCAGCCAGTGATCTCCTGCAGGTAGGGCTGCCAGCTCCCGGTTGGGACATTTGAGCATGGAGCCGAGGGACCGCAGGGTTTAAGGAAGGGGTGGAGCTCAGCAGGGAAATGAGGCCATATAGATCCCACCCTCTGAAGCTGCCATTTTCTCCAGGGGAGTTGGTCTCTGCAGCACTCCTGGTGATAGGCAAATGAAAAAGTCCTCCACAGTAAAGGTCTGAAGGATCTTCCAGTGTGACCCGTAGCAGGCACCAAGTTCTCTCTTCTTTCTCTCTTTCCTCCAGGATGTCAGAAGTGCCTTGCAGAGGTGAGCTGATCTCACTTATTTTCTCTCCATGATGTATTTAGAAGCCTATTGTTTCTGTTATTCAAAGTGTGGTGTTTGTGGAGTTCCTGATTTTGTATTCATGGATGTGTTTGTGTTTTCTGTTCTTTTAAAGAAGAGCTTCAGGGATTTGAAACACATCTAATACTTTTCTATGGCACTGATGACATCCCTTCCCTTACTCAGTTACTGTAGAGAGTCCAAAACATGTTGCAACCAAACATTTCAGTGTTTTCCACACTGTCCTCTCGACTTTATAAAGACCTGGGTTGTGGCTGTTCCCCCCCCCCAGTCTAGAATGCAGATAAAGTAGTAGCCTTTCCACTGTGAACTGGCCAAGTGCTACTGACACACCAGCTGAGATAGCAGTATCTCAAGCAGTTGAGAGTTTTCAAGAGCAACTCTAAGCAGGTCTATTCAGAATCCTACTCAGGTTTATAGAATGTGCTTAAAGGTAAAGGTAAAGGTTCCCTTGCTCGAAAGCCAGTCGAATCCGACTTTAGGGTTGCGGTGCTCATCTCCGTTTCAAAGCCGAAGAGCCAGCGCTGTCCGAAGACGTTTCCGTGGTCATGTGGCCGGCATGACTAAACACCAAGGCGCACGGAACGCTGTTACCTTCCCACCGAAGTGGTCCCTATTTATCTACTTGCAATTTCTTGCTTTCGAACTGCTAGGTTGGCAGGAGCTGGAACTAGAGACGGGAGCTCACCCCATCTTGCGGCACCCGGGTCTTGAACCGCTGAACTACTGACCTTCCACAGCCTGCAGTTCAGTGTCTTAACCACTTGAGCCACCGCAGCTTACCCCCACATAAAAAAAAATATTCTTAGGATTACACTGTCCCTATGCATGTGTATTTTTATATATGCATTAAATTCAAGAAACACATATATGTTTATATATTTAGCTATCAGACCTTTAAAAAATGGCAACTCAATTCACTCATACTTGTTTTTAAAAAATCTTACAAAAGTCACAGCCAAGAGGGTGGGCAATTCTGCATCTGGCATTCGCTCCACATTTTCTCAACACTGAGGGAAAGGTGCAGCTCAAAAGCACATTCAGATACCCCTGGGGCAACACTGTACTGACTGCAAAGTCACCCCTGAATCTGTGCAGAAGGTACCATAAAACCCAATGATCAAAGAAAGCGAAAGCGGCATGCAGTGTCGAGGGTACCATAAAATCTGATGATCAAAGAAAGTGAAAGCAGCATGCAATGCAGAGGGGAATTTCTGTTCCAAGGTGGGTTTGCTAAAACGATGGAGGGAAAAGCCAATGCAGAATCGCCCGGTGATTCATCAGGGACAGGAATGAGGTTCTGTCCTTCCTTAATATGGTCAGAGGCAGTTCCCTCTCTCAGCACTGTGTGTATTGTCTGCTCCATTCAGAAATTCCAGGTATCTCACCAGGGTGGTGAGTGACCCCCAACTTGCTGTAGCTTCTTGTGCTCCAGCTGCCACAACCATGTCACATGATTATCTTCACTTGAGTTTGGAGATACGGGCCCACGTATCCCTCTGAAGAACCTCGATTTTGACACCCCTCTTAGGAGCTGCAGCGAGGACAAATTCCCTTCCCAAAGCACATCCATCCCTTCCTGGCTCCATCTCCAGTCTTTCTGCCATGCCCTTCCTACACACTCTATTCTTTTGCGTCACAGGTTTGGATAGATGGCTAACAGTATGTCTCTCAAACAGGTGTGAGGAGAAGTTTGAGGAGATACTTGAGAGCCCTGTGGCATTGCCCCTGGAGCTGAAGTGGAAGACCCAGGATGTCTGTGATTTAAACTTCTTCCTGAAGGCTGTTACGAAACCCTTCCAAGGTACTGATGAGGGAGGTATCCGACTAGTGATCCTGGTGATTCTTTGTCAAGAATAGGCTCATGTTGCGAATTTTCTCTCTTCATACAATTCTTTCTAATTGACTTGTTCATACTGAACAGATGTTCTGCTTATGTGCCCGCATGGTAGGTATTCATTAAAGCAGGCAACTGAGGCCGTTCTTGGTGTATGCTCAGAACTGGATTATTTTAGAGCCAGTTTGGTGTAGTGGTTAGAAGCGCGGACTCTAATCTAGGAGAACCAAGTTTGATTCCCCACTCCTCCACATGTAGCTGCTGGTGTGAACTTGGGTCAGTCATAAGTTCTCTCAGAGCTGTTTGTTTGTTTGTTTGTTTATTGGATTTACACCCCACCCTCCCTGAGGACGCTCAGTTGTGGATGTGTCTGATGGTGAAAGGAAAGTCCGATGCTGCAAAGAACAATACTGCATAGGAACCTGGAATGTAAGATCTATGAATCAAGGTAAGCTTGACGTGGTCAAAAATGAGATGGCAAGACTGAACATCGATATCCTAGGAATCAGTGAACTAAAGTGGACAGGAATGGGCGAATTTAACTCAGAAGACCATTATATCTACTACTGTGGCCAGGAATCTCGTAGAAAAAATGGTGTGGCCTTTATAGTCAACAAGAGAGTGCAAAAGGCAGTACTGGGATACAATCTCAAAAATGACAGAATGATTTCTGTCCGATTCCAAGGCAAACCATTCAACATCACAGTAATCCAAGTCTATGCCCCAACCACTGATGCAGAAGAGGCTGAAGTGGACCGGTTCTATGAAGACCTACAACACCTCCTAGAACTAACACCAAAAAATGATGTCCTCATCATCATAGGGGACTGGAATGCTAAAGTAGGAAGTCAAAAGGTAACTGGAATAACAGACAAGTTTGGCCTTGGAAAGCAAAATGAAGCAGGGCAAAGGTTAACAGAGTTTTGTCAAGAGAACACACTGGTCATAGCGAACACCCTTTTCCAACAACCTAAGAGACGACTCTACACATGGACATCACCAGATGGGCAACACCGAAATCAGATTGACTATATAATTTGCAGTCAAAGATGGAGAAGCTCTATCCAGTCAGTAAAAACAAGACCTGGAGCTGACTGTGGTTCAGATCATGAGCTACTCATTGCAAAATTCAGACTTAAACTGAAGAAAATCGGGAAAACCATGAGGCCATTCAGGTTTGACCTAGATCACATCCCTGATGAATATACAGTAGAGGTGAAGAATAGATTCAAGGGTCTGGATTTGATAGATAGAGTGCCTGAAGAACTATGGACAGAGGTTCGTGACATCGATTTACTTAAAATTATTTGGCAGAGAATTCAACACTTTAATGATGGTCTGGGCCTGGCTGGGGCGATGGCATGCGTGCCCACAGAGAGGGCTCTACGTGCCACCATGGTTCGCCACCACTGCCTTACTTGGTCTGGATAAAGTACTCTTCTTCCTTCCTGAAGAGCTGACTAGACAAAGCAATGGCTGGGCTGTTTGCATTCCAGCAACCAAAATTCATCATAAAGCCCCAGGAAATGTGTGTTCTTCCCAGAAAATAACTTCATTAATCTCACCAAGGTAAAGAATTGATGGCTACAGCACAGTAGAAATTTACTTGCGGCAATCCCTTAGAACAATTCACTTTTTCATCCTAGTGTTCAAGTGTGTTGCTTTAAACTAATGTCATATTAAAGTTGCTGTTGACCCAGTCTAAGTTCTTTCCACATGGCTAGTCCAGAGAAAGCAACGCAGAGAGAAGTGATAGGCTTAGGGGTTGCCCAAAAAGGGACCAGATGATGGAGAAGGGTTTTCAGGATACACTCATTGCCAGCATGTAAGAAATTTTTGAGCACATGAAAGAACCTTGATAAGCATGTCCCAGAGTTCTCATGGCAGCCAGGTTACTTCCTCTTGAAAGCACCTGAGGGAAATACATACTAATAGAATAGGGTTGCCAACCTCCTGGTGGTCGCTGGAAATCACCTGGTATTACCACTGATCTCCAGGCAACAACCTGGTGATCTCCAGGCAACAGAAATTAGTTCATCTAGAGAAAATGCCCACTTTGGAAGTTGGAGTCTATGACCCTCCCCTCTGAAGTCCCTCCCCCTCCCCTAACCCCGACCTTTTCAGGCTTCACTTCCCAAAATCTCCAGGTATTTCCCAACCCAGCATTGGCATCCCTATTAACCAAAAGATTCTGATGATATCTGAAAGATGGATCCATCCAAGTCTCTGACTTTACTAGGCCAGGGGGATCTTGGGGTGCAAAACGACATGACTCTGGTGTGTAGGGGGGACTATTGGGGGCAACAGTGGTTAATCATGATCACTGTTACCATTAGGAATCACCTTTTTTGAGCACACTCCATTTAAAAGTGCAGTGCCAACGTTCCCTTTGAGTTAATGGCTATAACCTAACTTTTACCCCAGGATTGAAATTTGTGATGCCATAATTGTCTGAATTGCTGTTATTGTTACTTGAATTGCTGTAGTGGTGTTACAATGCTCCCTCTAAGCTGTGGAGTCCTGTGAGCAAAAATTCTACTTTGTGAGCTACTCTCATTAAAGTTGTGAGCGAGCGATTTGGCTGCTGCATGAATTAGTTGGCTCTGGAGCCCTCCTTCCTGAGCCAAGACAAAAATGTGTGAGCCGGAGGCTAAAAAGCTGTGAGCTGACTCACACCAACTCAGCTTAGAGGGAACACTGGTGGTGTAGGCCTTAATCGCTATTCCCTTTGCTTCCTCAGACACTCTGGTATCTGGACTTCAGCTGCAGAAAGGTAAATTTCAGGGACTGGAGGGGAAGTCATATTCACAGGAGGGAGAGGAGACTTGTGCGAAATTATGTTCAGTCCTAAAGTCAGTCACAAATAGCAAATGGGGGGTGCCGTTAGTAGCTGGTTTTCACTGCTCAGAACCAGGCCCGTAGCCAGGATTTTGTGGCTTGTGGGGCAATTTTTTTTCTGATGGACTGAAGTTCTCAGTGCAGAAAGAAAAGCCATTTAGCCAGTAGAAAGCTGTTACCAGGCTAGCTCTCTTGAGATGACAGTTCTCAGCTGCTGCAAATTAATCAGCTCTGCCAGCCTAAGCAACAATTCTGGTAACAAGCTGGCAGGTGGGGGTCAGGACTAGTCAAGAAAGCTAACACTTAGGCAGGACAAAACGCTCTTAAAGGAGAACAGTTTCTAGACAGGGTTAGAAGGGATCCTAGAGGTCATCTACTCCAACCTCCTTGCTCAGTGTGGGAATTAGTCAACTACAGCACCCCACTCTGCTTAAAGGAGCGTGCACCTTTAAAAAATGTTTTAGAGTGATTGAAAAAAAGCATTTCCAGGAGGAATTTTTGTGGGGCTGTGCCCCAAAGCCCCCCCCCCCCCTAGCTACAGGCCTGTTCAGAACTGGTACAACAACATCTGTGTCTCGCACTAGGTCTCGAAACCCCACTCAGTATCAAGCCCAAGTTCACTACCCCTCCGGTTGTCTCTGTTCATTGTTATGCTATTCTGGATGTTAGCTTTTATTGACATAGTCACATTTAGAGCAAAAATAAAGAGATCGAGCTATTGTTTAAAAAACAGAGTATTCAGTGATGGGTTTTCCCTGGGACAGCTGGATGGTATGTGGTGAAGTATTTAGCAGAGGCCCAAAAAGTAACTTAATCTCTCACATGATTCTGCTTCTCTTCTGCCTCCTCATTTCTCCTCAACAGCAAACATGACTCTAGATCCAGACACGGCCCACCCCCACCTTGTCCTGCCAGCGGACTGTACCAGTGTGAGAGAGGGAGATGACGCTCAAGATTTGCCTGACAATCCTGAGAGATTTGACCAATTTGCCGCTGTGCTGGGACACAAGGGATTCGCATCAGGCCGACATTTCTGGGACGTTACTGTGGCACGAGAGCTTGGGTGGGCTGTGGGGATCGCCAGAAAGTCTGTGAGGAGGAAGGGTGCTATAGAGTTTAGTCCTGAGGAAGGAATCTGGGCTGTGGAAAAGTGGTTAGGCGGGTACAGTGTTTTCATAAACCCTCATTACGAACTCTTAACCGTGAGTGGTGACCTCCGCAGGATCCGCATTTCCCTGAACTACCATGCAGGCAGAGTGGCCTTTTTCGATGCGGACACAGCAGCCCCTCTCTATATATTCTCAGGAGCCTCTTTCTCTGGAGAGACCCTTTTCCCTTTCTTTTGGGTACGTTTAAAAGCCCAGCTTGATCTCTCCACTTAAGGTAGGCAGACCATGCTGCTGTGGCTTCTGAGATTACTTTAGTGAGCAAAAAACCCAACCCAAACAGTAATTGCCCAAGGGCTCCTTTTCTGGCTCTGCGAAGGCCGCTACAGGCTTCCGGTCACCAAAACTAACTAAAATTATATCTGCGCCCTCCCCCCTTTTGTGTTTGTTTGTTTTAGTAATACATTCGATTAATTAATATCTGAATCTGTTCTAAGAAAAAGACAGAAGTAAAAATATCTGTCATAGATGCAGAGATAATTTTATTAACCCCCTCATGGGGCTCGGCAGTGGAGCTGCAAGGCCGGCGGTGGCGGCCGGGACCGTTGGGGGCGGGGTGTGTGGCCTTATGACACACTTCTGGTGATGTCATGGAGTGTGGCCTTATGACACACTTCCGGTGATGTCAGGGGGTGTGGCATATGCTAATGAGTTATGCTAATGAGTTCCCCTAGCTCTTTTTCTACGAAATGACCCCTGCATAGAAGTATTGTCAAACCAACTCTGCCTTCACAATATCCATTTTGGTCTGTATGTTCGTGACATTAATCTTTGTATGTATTTGATACTTTTCTAATAAAAATAAAAATGCAGAGGTATATATCTAGGTAGGTTTTCTTGGTCACCACAATTCCAGTATCTTTGACTCCCCTGCACCCCCTTCCTGTTTCCAGTTCTCCTTAGATCAGACACTGGTCATGAAGATGTACTACCTCAGAGCCAAACTAGAGGATACCATATCCCTGAGTTCACCACAAGGATGTGACACTATTTTAGAGCCTTTTAAAATTATTGTTTTTTAAATGCCACAGGGGCCTAATAAGAACATAAGAAAATAAGAGAAGCCAGTGTTGGATCAGGCCAATGGCCCACCCAGTCCAACACTCTGCCACACAGTGGCCAAAAATACCAGGTGCCATCAGGAGGTCCATCAGTGGGGCCAGGACACTAGAAGCCCTCCCAAGAAGAGCGCTGCTGGAGCAGACCTGTGGTCCATCTAGTGCAGCATCCTGTCTCACATAGTGGCCACCCAGTTCCTCTGGATAGCCAACAACTGGGTATAGCAGCGGAGGCCTTCCTCTGATATTGCCTCCTGGCTCAGGTATTCAGAGGATTAGTGCCTCTGAATGCGGAGGTTCCCCTCAGTCACCATGGCTAGTAGCCACTGATAGACTTATCCTCCATGAATCTATCTAATCCCCTTTTAAAGCTGTTTATTCCTGTGGCCATCACTCCATCCTCTGGCAGTGAATTCCACATTTTAATCACTCTCTGTGTAAAGTAGTATTTCCTTTTGCCCGTCCTGGACCTACTGCCTATCAGCTTCCCTGGATGCCCTCGAATTCTAGTATTTTGGGAGAGGGAGGGGGGGAATCACTTTGTCCACTCTCTCCACCTCATGCATA